TAGAATCATAGAATCATAGAATATCAGGGTTGGAAGGGACCTCAGGAGATCATCTAGTCCAACCCCATCCCCAGACAGATTTTTTTACCCCCGTTCCCTAAATTGCCCCCTCAAGGATTGAACTTGCAACCCTGGGTTTAGCAGGCCAATGCTCAAACCACCATTCTTATGTTCTTAAGCAAGCAATTCTGGATTAAGAATAGCAAAAAAGTGACAGACTGTTAGCTCTAAAATGTACTGATAATTTACCTTGAGGGAAATATTTCAGCACTATGACAACTGAAACTTCAGTTCAAAGGGGTAAATAACACCCCCTTTAGAAAGTTTTGGTGCACATACTGAATGAACTCTTTTCCTGGAAAGTGTAGTCTTTGAGAAGGGGGGTTGCCAAAATTAAAAGAACCACCTCACTCCCTGAAACAGAGTAGCCATGGGCTTCTAGTATCAAGTTCAAGGGCCCTCCCATTATTTTGGAGACAAGTCATATAGAAAACAAAAGTCACTCAGAAATTACTAGACACTAGGAATTACTAACCAGCACTCACAGGTGTTGTGATGAGCAGAAAAATATGCTCAGCTCACTGCTTTGCTCCTATTGGACTGTTGACTCCTGAATCCAGCTAATTACTGTGCACTGTATTCAGCTGTGGTAATTTTTTACTTTACATTCCTTCACTGAACTAAAGAACATTCTCTGAAGCTAGGGAAGCCCCTCCTTCAGACCCTCACAAGTTCACCTGTTCTGTTTAGTTTCCATCTTAAGACTTATCTGGTAATTGAAAATGTGAAGAAATAAAAAAGCAAGACAGCGATACATCTAAGGGAGACTAAATACCAACACTAAAAACCATAACATTATTGTTCCGATTGCAATTTAAATTCTGGTCTCCACAACAAATGTTACTCAAAATATTCCCTGCACTCCCATACGAAGTAGAGGATAAGTGCTTCTGAACATAGTATGCTATCAAGCAGAATCTCAGAGAAGTTCCAATGATACTTTTAGCATCATAGAAACCCTCAGACTGAAACAAAGTTTTAGTTGTATCAAGTTTACCTTTAGTCCAGAAGAGAACTCCACCATTTCTTCTGCTTGAACATTCCTTAGGCCGTATACACGGGCAATACCATCACCAATTGACAGCACACGCCCAGTCTCTTCTAGCTCAACGGAGGTGTCAGTTCCCAGAATACGTTCCTCAAGAATAGAGGATACCTCAGCAGTGCCTGGTAAGAACAAATAATTTTAAACTGGAACAGTACCTTGTTAAAGCAGTTGTACGAATTTAGTACCGTTAATTCAAGAAAATACAAGTTAAACCAGGCATAATGCAAGATTTTAGGCACAACTGTTCTTTAAAACGACAGCTTGCTGGGGAGAAACAGCCAATGGTAGCCATATCTGCTCCCATATCTAAATGGGAATTTTCTGTTACCGTAACAGCACAGTGCCTCTGTCAGGCAGCATGATGAATTCAGGAGTGATGCTCGCTGAAGTGTATTAAGAGACAACCGCTTAATTCTCCAAAAAGGATGAAAGCATTAGATTTGGACCCATTGAGGGGTTAAGTTTCAGAGTAACAGCCGTGTTAGTCTGTATCCGCAAAAAGAAGAACAGGAGTACTTGTGGCACCTTAGAGACTAACAAATTTATTAGAGCATAAGCTTTCGTGGACTACAGCCCACTTCTTCGGAGGGGTTAGAAGCTGGATAGGTAGTGACAAAATGCTACGGGGCTCCATTTGGGGGCATCTAGTCTAATACAGTTGCAGAATCTAAACTTAGTTCTGCTGTGGCTAGACTAGTATAGCATTCACATGGATTAGGTAAATATTAAAATTCTGTAAATGCAGAAACAAGGTTTTATAAAAAAAGCCAGAGAAGTGTTCCCATAAAAGGCAGATAGTTTAAGAAGTGAACATTCTCCTAAAACGCACAACTCAAAGACTGTAGTAGTGTGCTGCATTAGCATATGGAAGTACAACTGAAGAAACTGAACAGTTTATTTTCATTATTGCAAAGCAAGGGAAAATTAAAACAAAGAACTAAACAGACTGGATTAATCTAGTCTACTTAGTTCTTGGTTTTAATTTATGGTTAATCTAACGAGCTATATCTTACTCCATTAGAACTTGGTTATGATACGCTGCCAAACTAAGGTCAAAAGCTTGTACCAGCAGGACAGACAAGCTAGGCCCATGCTGTTAAGACATTTACATTTTATAAAATGTCATTCATCCTGAAAGGTCTTAAACCATTTGACTAGTCATATACAGCAGCACTGAAAAATACAGCCAAGCAGACAAAGCATACTGCTGGAGGGACAGGGAAACTATGGCCAAGGACACAGGGTCAAACCCAAGCACTTCTTGAGAAAGCCATGATTTTAGCACGAATACTGAACCAACAAGAACCTGGGGCTTAAGACTTTAAAGCTCTTCTGCATAGTACTCCCTTTATCTCTTAGAAGGGCTAAATTCAACCTTCAGTTCCAGGTAGTCTAGGTACACTATATCTGATGCTTAAGACTACTATACCATTCCCTCTAGTTTGAGCATACCATTGACAACTGACCAAGTAATTCAAACAAAATAACTAAGGTACATATTAATATCTATGACACCTCTAAAAGACCGTTTGATATAAACAAATCTCCACAAAACAAGGAGATGGGAGACATTTACAAACTGAAATGTTGAACTTATTTTGCAAGGGCATCTTTCTATCTGCTGTGAATATTGCCATTTGGTTAGCAAATTTGAATTTGCATGAACAGCATGTGTTTTATGTTCAGAAGTTTCTTTGGACTCACCAGCTTTTTGAAGACTAGTTTTGGAGGCATGGATGTTCCTTGTAGCAACAAATGTTGCACCCAGGGCATTTCTGGAAACCTAACAACAAAAAGCATTTTGTTTAAAGAGTCAGTAATTTATGTTGGGTTTCTAGTGACTGTGTAAAAACATGCAAGAGGAACACAATATTTTAAAGGACACCACCACCTTGAAAGCCATCTGCATGAACAAAATTTCCAGAGAGAAACCCAACACCCAATTCCTCAATTTCACAAGTTGCTTCCTGGCGATACCCCCTGCAGAGCCCCACTAACTTCAACAGAAGGCCTCCTACACAGTTTGAAGGATCAGGCCCAAGATTAGTATAATTAAAAGTAGCTAGTGAAGAGTTCCTATTTTTAATTTACTTAATGCATTTTACATTTGGATTCTATACTGTCCTCAATACAGTAGCATATGAGCACCTTCCAGAAGTGCTTTCAAGGTGATTACCACTCACAGCACTATGGGTTTAATTACTTTCTGTAACGGTTTTTAAGCCACAAGATGGTTTGATTTTTTTTCAAAAAGGGATTTTAAGAAGGGCACTATCAGAAACTGGGATTTTTTTAAAAAAAGGAATCAATTTAAGCAGAGAGTGTCCTCCTGAAGTTCTCACCCTCATAAGTGAGATCAATTAACATGAGTTGGGTAAAAGACGACAACAAAAAAGCTAGTGCCACAAAGGCGAACTGCACAAAACAGAAAGCAGCACTAAGGTTTCCAGAGGACTGTCTAAAAACAAAGTTAAACACAAGCAAATGCCAGGCCAATAAGACTGGGAAGCCACCAAAGCCCCCCACTCACCTTCACCAGGGTCACTGCCTGGGGCTGAGTAGCCTCAGAGACCCCTGCACTCCCACCGCAACCCCCCACCGAGATCCCAAAGGCTTCCAAGTGGCCTGCTCCGGGGTAGGAGGGTGCCAGGATACCCCAGCCCGGAGCTCAGCCCCGCGCTTGCCCTCCCGCGCGTCTCCTCCTCCCCTAGGGACCCGGGCTGGGCCTGCCCTAGCTGGAGCCGAGCCCCCCGCAGCACCCAGCCAGAGGAGGACGATGGCGGGGGTCCGGCTCCAGCTAGGGGGAGGAGGCAGCCCCGCGGGCCCCTCTCAATGTCACCCCAAGGCCCGGACTCCAAGATGGCGGCAGCGGCGGGTGCGCCCGGCTCCCCCCGCGCCCAGCGCGTTCTCACCAGGCCGGCCTGCCGGGGCAGCGCGCGGGCGAGGGCGGCAGCCACGCGGACCGAGAGCATCTTGCTGGGCTGAGGGGCGAGCGGGTGGTGTCTCCTGCAGCTGCCGCCGGCGCCTTGCACACTCCGCACAAAATGGCCGCTTCCGCTCCGCCCCTTCTGCGGGAAGGTCACGCCCCCACCCCGCCGCGGCGGGGCAAGTACAGGCCCTGACCCGGAAGTAGTTCTTGCAGCTCCTCCGCCCCAGGGTGATCTCTTACACTTTTCATTTCACAATTTCCGGGGTTTCTCACCATTTTGAGGGCATTTCCTGTAAAAAAAAATACAATTTGAAATTGTAAAAAAAAAAATTAGTCAGTTGCCCTTGAAATGGCCCCGCCCATCATAAACAGAGGCAGCTGCCCCTCCCCCAGGCAGGCAAAGGGCTGCATCCAAGGGGTGGGGCCAGTCCAGGCTGGCAGAGGGCAGGGCTAACTTGTGGCCCCTGCCACCCTGTCCCATAGCCAACATGATAGTGGCCATGCCGCACTGTTACTCAGTGTCACTAGTTCTCACAATAATATCCCAATGTTTGGTGGTTTTCTTGAAGCTCCAGATCCTGGAGTCATTTGATTCTGTAAGAAGCTCTGCTTTAATTTATATATATATACACAGCACACCATACATATACACACGGTCACATGTGCACGCACACACAGACTAGATATATGTATGTACATACACACAAACACACTATATATGTGTGCGTGCACACACACTATATCGTTTCTAGCCCCTTGTGGCTGTGGAAAAAAAGCTTGAAAGCCCGTAGAGCACCCTAAAGATTCTAAAAGCTGGAGGCAAATAAAAAGTTTTCTGAATTTTAAGTCAATCTCATGATGTTTCAGGGCCTAATGATTTTTGAAAGCTTGGCATTGGCAATTCTGTAGAAACTTGGCCATCAAGGCTGCCTCCGTTGCACCAGGTGAAGGTACTTCTTTGTCATGGGGAATGTGAAAATTGTATGGCAAAACCACTGTGTATTGTGTGGAAATGTCTTTACATAGACATATACCACCTGCAATTTTAGGCAGGTCATTCATCTGGTTTTAAGCCGACCAGTCCTCTTTTTCCATGGTTTTGTCCCTTTCTAGTACTGAGACAAAACTGGACGTGGTTTTGTCTGGTATCACGGACGAGGGGCACCATTCTGAAGAGCACTCGGTGACCAGATAGCAAGTGTGAAAAATCGGGACACTTTTTGGGAGGCAGGGGGGAAATAGTTGCATATGTAAGACAAAGCCACTAATATCAGGATGGTCCTAATAATATCAGGATGTCTGGTCACCCTAGCACCACTTAGCCTCCCACCACTGTGACCTTGCATGCTTTGTGCATGCAAGGTCACGTCCATGGGAGTGGTAGGAAATGCTCTTCAAAATGGGGTCCTGCATAATACATGTGAGGTCAAGTGTGTGGAAGGTCACACCGGCAGGAGCAGGGTCAAGCCGGCAAGTGTGGGCTCATGCCGTTCCCAGAAGTACTGGAATGCCTGGTATTCTGGTAGGGTGACCAGACGTCCCAATAAAATCGGGACCATCCCAATTTTGAGCTGTTTGTCCCGCGTCCCCACCGATCTCTGGTCGGGACGCAATTTTTGTCCCGATATTTTGCGCCGCCAGGATCACTTTTTTTTTTTTAATTTGCTCAGCCGGCTGGCAGCCTCTTCCCCCCTCCCCTCCCCCCGTGTCCCGATATTTTCTTCATCTCATCTGGTCACCCTATATTCTGGGGATGCAGCAGTGGCCACCCTAGGCAATATACAAGATGCAACTAAAGATCCAGATCTATATCAGCTACATCATGCCTCTCTATGGCCCAGCTACACAGCTGCACTTTTATTTGACAATAAAATTTGCCAAGTCCAGCATGAAGATAGCAAAAGATACAGCATTTTAAACTGAGAAAGTCTGGGCTATGAAATGAGTCCCTAGGGATTAGACTGGCATGCTGCGAAAACTGTCTCTCCATACCCAAAAATGTTAAATAAAACTAAAAGCAAAAACCTACAAGATCTTCCTAAAGTCTGAAAAGGGGAAATAGAGGACATCAAAAGCTACTTTGAGAATCAACATGAGAATCTGATTTGTGATGCCTACTCTTGCAATTTTAACGTGAATCTCAAAATATTGGGTGTTTTTTCTTTAAGTCCTAATTACAGGAGTCCTATGATTATTTCAACTGCCATTTTTTTAAAAATGTAAGTTTCTAGCCCTTGTGTTTGCGGAGAAAAGCTTGGAAAGGCCTACCCTAAAGATTCAGACACCATAAAACAAAACAAAACCCCCCAAATGTATTATTTTTAAATCACAGTATTTTTAAGATATCTCATGGGTTTTTTTGGTGGCCTGACTCATGCATTTTGAAAGCGTAGGATTTAGGACTTCTAAACAGAAAAGCAAAGTATTATCTTTCTATCTATTATCCTACTCAGTACCTATGATTAAGGCTACGATTTAGTCATGGGTATTTTTAGTAAAAGTCATGGACAGGTCACGGGCAATAAACTAAAATTCAAAAATGACTTTTACTATATACCCCAGACTAAATCTTAGCTGTGGGGGTGGGGGGAAATGCTGCTTTGGGGGGCACCCACTGGCAGCCAAGCTCCCCTCTCCCCCCACTGCACCTCCTTCTCCTCCCCTCCCCCCCAGGCATGCTGCGTCCCTGCTCCTCCGCCTACCTCCCAGCGCTTCCCGCCCGCCTGGCTGCTGCCAAACAGCTGTTTTCACACTCCAGGAGTGGGGGAGGAGCAGGAACGTGGAGCGCTCAGTGGAGGAGCAGGGGAAGAGGCAGGGCCGGGGCAGGGATTTGGGGAAGGAGTTGGAATGGGGCAGGGAAGGGGCGGAGTTGGGGCGGGGACTTTGGGGAAGGGGTTGGAATGGGGGTGGAGAAGGGGTGGGGCAGGGGCGGAGCCTCATGGAAGGGGTGGAGTGGGGCGGGGGCAGAGGTCAGGGTTGAGCACCCACAGAAAAGAGGGGAAGTCGGCACCTATGGCTTTGGCGGTCCCCAGGGCCAGATGCCTGGGGCCACCCAAGCAGCACTGGTGCAGTTGGCTGCGGGACTGCTGAGAAGTCATAGAGATCATGGAAAGTCACGGAATTCATGACTTCCACAACCACTTACAGACACGGAGCCCTACCTATGATCTATCTGTATGATACTAAACCAGGGTGGCCACCTGTCTGGAATTTTAAAGGGATTGTCGTGATTTTACTGGGGCGATTCTGCATAGTGAAAGATCTTTATACCGTCATAAAATTATATCCAAACCTGTAAAACATGCTATTCTAATGTATTCTGTTCAGGTTCTTTACTGTACCCACCAAGGTAGTATCTGAGTGCCTTCCAGTAGTGCATTAAGCCACATGACTAACATCTGTGATGGGTTTGTTGTCTCATCCTCCCTTCAGGGGGAGAAGTATATGCCGTGGACTGTTTTGTTTAGGAAATGTTTTTTGATAACAAATATACAAGTTGTTATACATTTGTTGGGAAGGCAAGGTCAAAGAAGTGCTCCTTGCACCTAGAGCAGAAGGTGGTGAGGTTTATGATGGTCTTTAATTGCTGGGGGCATTCATTCCACAGTCTTGGGCAAGCCTCAGAGAAAGCTTTGTGTCTTGCATAGATGAGCTTTTCCACTGTCAAGTTTCTCTGTACCAGAGGAGCAAAGTTGCTGACAACAGTCCTCATCTCAGAACTTTACGTGATCTTTCAGATACCCTGGGCCAGGCCATTGAGCGTCTTGAAGAGAAGGACCAAGACCTTGAACTTCATTTGATAGTCTATGGGAAGGCAGTGCAGGGAGAGGAGAATGGGTTTGATGTGTTCATAGCAGTTAGTGTTACTGAGGAGATGTGCATCATCATATCATGGTGTGATGCTATTTTCTTCAAGATGTCCAAATCCTATATTATGATGACATTTTTCAAGACATTGTTCCATTTTATTGTGACCTGATAACATGTTTTAGCAATCTTACTACTTTGTGTGGATACATAGTGATATCACAGTTTCTTTTTTCTTGTAATCTTTGCACAACATGATTTCTTTATGGAATTAAATCATCACATATAACAGCATAGTGGTTATTTTTTAAGACTGCGTGGAAGTGGCAGTGGCATTACATGGTAACATTTTAAACAACATTTTTAACACGGTAAGTTTTTAACTGCACTATGTCCTAATCTCAGAACAAAAGTATATCATCACAGCATGACATGACAACACAGTGATGATTTTCCTGACACTGTGCCACTGGGATAAGACATGATGATGGGTTTTCCTGACAATGACACTATGGTACAATCACAAGATTTTGGGACACCATGTCACCACGCCAGGACACGGTGATGGATTTCCTGACAGCATCAATACATCGTGATATAACAGAGGGTTTTTTTGGGGGGCGGAGGGGACGGAGGACCCATGTCCTGACATGGTGACAGATTTCACAACTCTGTGTCGCCACAGCATCACAGTGACAGGTACCCCGCTGTGGACTTGGTTACTGTACTGTAACGTGACATGGGTTTTTTTTGTGAATTCTGCAACATTCTTCTTGCCCCAGGCTGAGCAAGGCGAGGCCCCTCGTTGCAGACAGAGGGTCACACAGCCCAGACCCCTTATGTGCCTCTCTAGGGCAAGGAGCGCTGCCACCAGCCTGTCAGTCCCTTCTGGGCGTGGTTTAGGGAGGGGGCGGGGTCTGAGAGAAGGACACCCGCTGCGAACTACAACTCCCAGCAAGCGCCGCGGCACTGAGGTCATCTGTGCGCGCCTCGTCCCCTCAGTGCCGGCTGAAGCGGTGCGCGGAGGATGACGGGAAGGCGGCGGGAGGAGCCGGGATTCAACGCGGCGCAATCCGCCAAGCGGCGGAGGCCGGGATGGAGGAGAAGCTGAGACGGGTAACGGTCACCGCGCGGGCGCTGCCCGCGACTAGCAGTGCTTGGCGGGGTCCCCACAGAGAGGGGCATGTCCGGCCCGAGTCCGCCCGGCCGGGATACTCCACCCCGCCCCCGCCATGCGCCCCCCGCCTCCTGGTCCCTCCTCCCTGTGCGCCCCCAGTGCCCTCTGGCCTCTTCCTCGCAGTGCGCCCACGGGCTTCCCCGTGCCTTCCCTCCCCCCGTGTT